TAATTAATTGTTTTTTTTTATTATTTTCATATAAATGAAGACATCAAGTTGTGAGTCATATCTAAACATGTGTAGTAGTTCATTCCATTAAAGTTCAATTGATTTTTTTTTTGTAGGAAATGAGGCATTTGAGAAGCTCGGAACATTTGGAATGATGTCAAATTTGTTGGTGTACCTTACGACTGTGTTTAATATGTCTAGTATCACCGCCACCACTCTCCTCAATGTATTCGATGGCAGCATCAATTTCGCCACCTTGTTGGGCGCCTTCCTTTGTGATTCCTACTTCGGTCGCCACCTTACCTTGGGTCTTTCTTGCATTGCATCCTTCGCTGTGTGAATTCCTTTTACTTCATTTTAATCCTCCCCACTTCTCTAAAGTTTTATTTAAACATGTTTTGATGCTCGAATTATGATTTAATTCAGGGTTTGCTTTTAGTTGATCTAACTGCGGTGTTCAAACAACTTCATCCTCCTGAATGTGGATCAAAACAGGGTAGTCACTGTGTGGGTCCCACACCATTTCAATGGCTATTTCTACTCACTGGATTTCTATTTATGGTGATCGGATCCGGTGGGATCCGACCATGTAATCTGGCTTTTGGCGCTGATCAGTTCAATCCAAATACAGAATCCGGGAAGAGAGGGATAACGAGCTTCTTCAATTGGTATTTATTCGCTGTGGTATTTGCACAGATGGTGTCGCTTACTGTGGTGGTTTACATTCAATCAGACCTGAGTTGGCCCATTGGTCTAGCGATTCCGGTGATCTTCATGTTCATATCGTGTGTTTTGTTCTTCAGTGCTAATAAAATGTATGTGAAAGTAAAGCCTGATGGTAGTCCGTTCACAAGCATGGCGAGGGTTCTGGTGGTAGCCGTGAAAAAGCGACGGTTGAAACTACCGCAACAACCGCAGTTGTGTCTTTACAGTTATACACCACCGAAGTCGATTAATTTAGCTCTACCTTATTCGAACAAATATAGGTACAACGTTATGATTCCCCTTCTTTTTGCATGTTCTTGTGATAATTAATCCAACTGACTAATAACGTAATCGAAATTAAGGATGAGATTAGATAGGTGTGTGTTAGATTATATTCCTGTTGCTCGATAGGTAAAAATCACGTAAACAGCTACAACTTAAATTCGATGATGTGTTGCTTAGTTTATTTTGGCGATTTTCGCTTATAAACACTTCTTGAATAATATCTTTTTCGTTCTGTAACCTTTCCTGTAAATGTTATTTTCACTTTATATAAAACTATTATTATTATTATTATTATTATTATTATTATTATTATTATTATTATTATTATTATTGTATGACTTCAACTAAAGTATCGCATCCATTAAAGGGCGCACATCAATAATAAGTAACTTACAATGATCACGAGGAGAGCATTAAATCATTAATCAGGCAAAACTTAATCCAATCCATAATTTAATCCAATAGATCAAGGGGTCATATGCATCTTAGGTTAACTGAATGAAATAAATTCATGATTAATGAAATACTTTCATTGAATACGGAATTCATTAAACTGCTAATAGAAAAAAATATTAAAGTTAACGAAATAAATTCATGATTAATGAAATACTTTCATTGAATACGGAATTCATTAAACTGCTAATAGAAAAAAAAATATTAATATACTAGGTGTCAGATTCATCTATTAGATGATTTATTTAAAAAAAATAAATATAAAATTTTAATAATTTGAAAATTTTGATTTTTTATAAGAAAAATGATAAAAAAAATGAATTATTAAAATTAATAAGGTTTTAATTTATTTAATATATATTACATATATAAATTTTTTCTTCTAATAAATATCTTACATATATATTACCTTACATATTAAATATGTAATTTTCATTTAATAAAATAAAAAATTCAATAAAATAACAAGTGAAAAATAAAAAATTCAAAGATTCTATAAAATGTCATTTAACCAAATAAAGGAGAAGAGAACATGTGATAAAAATGTATTTATTTATCAGATAGGATATATATATATTTTTAATATAATAAAGAAATAAATGATTTATTTTATAAATATAGTTTTCATGGAACTTTTATAAAATTCAATATTATATTTCAATGGACAAATTATATATGTCTTAAATGTCCAAGCACTTTAAATTTCTTTATGGTTATTCTACTATATACCCTAAATGTCCTAGCACTTTAAGTTATTTTATGGTTATTCTATAACTATTTATGGGGCACCTACCTACACCGCCTCCAACAATCTCTCGTTATACAAAATAATTAAAAGTTTAAATGAATAACTAGTTTATAACTTGTGGAAAATACGGTTGTAAAATTAATTAAATTTTTATATTAAAAGATGAAAATTATTAATCAATTATTTTAAATAAATTATTGATTCGACATTTTTTAGTTATATAAATTTATAATCATTGATTTAAATAAATATGTGAAATTATATCACTTTATAATTTGTATTAATTTTATTTTAATTATTATTCTAATGTTATTAATTTAATGTAATTAGAGTGACAAATTTAAATTTTTAAATTTTAAATGTAGAAACAATAAGTTAACAAGTAATATCCATTAATTATAAGACATAATAGGATTACACATTATAAAAAAAATATATACATTTATTAGTAGACATAATATGGTAACATTTGTCAAAGTAGAAAAAACTATTTTTTTTATTTTAATATGGAGAGGGAGATTGGATGATAATGTGTCAATATCTTATGATATATATAGTTTAATATTCTATTATAATATATTTTAATTCATTTTAAATATTTAGAGTATAATATTTTATTCGAATATTTTACATATATTTTGAAAAAGATAGTAAACTTCTTATTTTTTTATTTTTGTTTTTTAGATAAAATATATAGTGAGGATCTTTTGAAAATACATACTCTCCGAACCACTCTTTAAATGGGAAATTTTTTGTGTTATGTGTTTTTTTCAAAAAAAATGACATAAACCACAAAACCGGTCATAGAGAAACCTATTCGCAAAAACAATCTGGAAAATGATGTGCATATATGATCTATTTGGTGTTTTATGTCAGCTCTTTTGGAAGAAAAAATATTACACAAAAAAATCACATTTAAAGAGTTGTTCTCCGGAAAAAAAAAATTCACAAGAAATCAAGAATATATATATTTTGCAGATCTTATGAAAATTAAAAATATGACAAAATATGTTTACAAGCATCAAATTTGTTATCAAGCCATATAAATGTTTATTATCATGTCACAAGTGATGATAAGCTAATATCTTTTTTCTAACTTTTTTTTAGTTTGTAATTTTAATAAACTAAAGAAATAGCTTATAAACTATATTTTTACAAAGTTACTCAACTTAACAGTTACAGGATATCGTTGACTTTTTTCTTAAAATTCTCCTAAATATTTGTTACTAATTATAAAAAAAATTCAATCTCTTACATGTCATTTTATATATTTTAGTTACCCGGTTAGTTTAAGAAATATCAATTTTTATTAACTAGTTTTCACCGATGAACTAACTTTTCTGCTAGAAGCACCAAACATAACATAAGTCAAGTTTGTGATCCAAACTGCAAAACGTTAGATTTTTCTGTTTATTTTTCCAACAGAAAGTATTCACCAATTTGTTAAGTGAAAAAAAAACACAAAATTAGTTTACCGATTCAACTGGTTAAACATAAAGCATAACTCCAATTAAATAATTAATTGATATTGTCACAAGTATTATGTACCACAAGATTAGTTATTAATCATAAGATATGTGCTCTTTTCATATTAGATTTCTTAACAAGGCAGCAATCGTGACACCCAAAGATACATTCAACCCAGATGGGTCGACATCCGACCCATGGAACCTATGCAGCATCCAACAAGTAGAAGAATTCAAATGTGTTATAAAAGCTGGACCCATATGGATTGGAGTTATAACATACTTCATGGTAATGATCCAACAAATGCAATATGCTGTCTTCCAAGCCCTTCAATCCAATAGACGCTTTTTCAACACCAACATTCAAATTCCTGCAGCTTCATACAACATCTTCACAATGCTCACTATTGTCATATTTGTACCTATATACGATCGTCTCATTGTCCCCCAACTACGTCGTATCACAGGTAAAGAAGGCGGAATATCCCTCCTCCAAAGAACCGGGTTAGGGATATCATTAACAGTCTTAGTTTCTCTAGTTTCGGCTTTGGTGGAAGAGAAAAGGAGGAATCTTGCCTTTACAAAACCAACTTTAGGTTACCAACCCCACAGAGGGGAAATTTCATCGATGTCAGCATTATGGCTAATTCCACAACTTTGTTTTGCTGGGTTGGCTGAGTCATTTACTGCAATAGGTTTACAAGAGTTTTACTATAGACAATTTCCGGAGAACATGAGAAGTGTTGCGGGTGCTTTCTTCTTCAGTGGACTTGCAGTATCGAGTTACTTAAATGGTTTTTTGGTGACAATTATTCATCGAACAACCAAAGGGGCTGCCACGGGAAATTGGTTGCCTGAGGATCTTAACAAGGGTAGATTGGACTATTTCCATTTTCTAATGACTTGTATTGGGATCATGAATCTAGGCTACTTTCTGTTGTTTTCAAGTTGGTATAGATACAAAGAAACGAATTGTGCCCAAGATGGTGATGTCATGGTGGAGATGGAGAAAAAACCTGATAAATCTTTGGTTTAAGAAACAAGGTGAAAATTGTAATATGATGAACATTAGGTAAGAATTGAAATATAAATCTTCCAATTGCAAAAACAATAACAAATAAATGTAATTAGTATATCCTATATCCTCTAGTATTTCATGTTTCAAGATATGTATATTAGGTGGGTGGATGATTTAAAGCGTATTTTAATGATTTGTGCCAAATCACAATGGCATTACTAACACTTATGTGTTCTTTTTTCCAAATACGTTACATTGAAATATATTATCTCCTAGATCCTCTGTATTTCAAGTTTATATGATATGCGTTTTATCTTTCCGATGTTTTTGTCTCTCATGAAAATCGAGGGTTCAAGTCTTCTCCACAATATAAGTGAAATTAAGAGTAGCTTAGTAATAGGATAGATATGTTGTTTAAAAAAAGACCGATAGATAATTTAAAACATATCTTAGTGATTCGTGCCCGATGGGGTTGTCGGCTATCCTACCTCCCACTGCCTTATACAACATCGTTATTGTTTTTGGTATCTTGGGGTGGCAATAATACAACATCTTTACATTTTTAAAAATATTGTGCCAGTTTATATGATAGTAACACAAATAACGTTTACTATTGTAATATCTGATTCACCTGAAAAAATATCATGTAATATACTTCTAAATTTTCCAAGTCTCTAAAATCTTAATTTTAAACTCATTTTTCCTAAATTTAAGGATCATTATTCCTAGTATGATGTCAGATATATCATCAACATCACAATGATGCTTCCACCAAGCATCATGTTCAGATTTACTGTTTAGTGTAGGTTCTTCAGGAGCGAAACCTCTAATAATGTATAATTTATGATCACTCTTGAGAAAATATTTCAAGACACTAAACCATTCACTAAAATTATAATCATCGAATATCAAAGGAAAGGAAAGGTGATACATGGTGTTGAGAGTGGATATTGTTTTCATCTACAACATTTAACAAAATTCATTTATTAATTTTAATATTTAAATATGCAAATATTAATCACCTTTAAGTTACTAAAACATTTATTATTTAATTCTAGGAACCAAATTGGAAAATAAATAAATAGTTAGGTATCCTTTTTTTCCATTAGTTAATTCAACAAGGTATACAATGATTATCAATTATATTCTAATATGCGGTATACGATCGCTAACAACTTTTATTAATTGACATGCTTGGTCTCATGCACGTCCCAGGCATCGTTTGCTTGAGTTACATTTGTCACAAAATATTTCGGATCAAGTCATCCAATTTGAAGAACATGTCGACACGGCACATTAATTGCATTTAGGTTTTCTTTATCCCACTAGAAATTATTAAACTACCTCGACCATCAAACGGTAAAACAAGTGGTTATGTATCATTTATTGTCACACCCCCAAACCGGAACGGCGGAAACATTCAGGGGCGGATGACTTCATGTGGTAACGTAACAAATGAATACATAGTAAAGAAAGCAATACAACCATCATATATATAATTGAAAGTTTACATTGTTTAAAAGAGTACATGTTCAAAACCAATTACAATATGATGTCAAAATATGAAATTAAACTAGCGCCGCAGCGTCCCTTCTCCAAAATCTGTTTGTTACCTGTAATTACTGAATCCCTGCGACATACAAGTAGTTTTGAAAGAGTAGATCAGCATTTAAGCTGGTGAGTTTCATAAGTATTTAATGACAATGTTTGTATGAAATGAAATGTTTTTGTTCCTTGTTTGCTTCTTCCTAGAAAATCCTATATTTTCTACTAGTATAAATGTAGCCTTCTTTCAAGACCAATGTTTGTTTCTAGTAAATGTATGTACGTATAAAATTTCCAATACGTCTGAAAAACCCCGTAAATCATTGTGTTTTTAATACTCTATGTGAGTTTTATAACCATACTATTGACAAGGAATGCCTATACACAACGTTCTTCAGGCGTTGGAATGTTCTGACGTTTGTCACCCCAAATGGTGGACTGTAGCTAACAGTCAGGGCGCGGGTTGTCAAGCCCGTATAGATCTATACACAAACACCATGCTCCCCTCCAAGGGATTCTGGTATATAATACAGGACTTGAAATGTGTACTCGAACGTACGTGAAGTTAATGTCTCACAAAACTTAGTATAAAACAGATTTACGTGTGAAAACGTTCGTTCGTTATTGTATATGAAAGTAGCTTCTTGAAATAGTATTTCCATGTATGTAAAAGTTCGTAGTATTCTCGTAAAACTATACCTATTATAGTTTCCTAAAAGTGTGTTTCGTTTGTATAATAAACCCTTAGTGAAAATGTTCACTTGTTATGAAAAGTGTAGTTTTTGTAGTGCCAAAACCGACACACAGAAATGTAGTATAAGCAAGTATCTGATTTATATAAATACATAAATCGTTTCTCATTTCAAAAGATAAAATGTTGTCGTGGTATAATTTGCATATGAAAGTTTCCCTTTAATAGTTTTAAATCACATATGATTCCTTTGATAAAACGCATAGTGAAAGTTTATATAACACACGATAATAATCGAGTGTTTTACTTCTATCCCCGCCCCCCTAAAAGCATGTAAAAGTACTCATAAAACATTTAAAAGTGTGAATTATAGGGGTATGAACTCACTTGTAAGATCGGAGGTTGCGGGATGAAAACCGGACAGAATTTCGGCTTGAGAAAGTGGATTTCCTCGGGATTCTCGGGAATCTCGGGGGCACAAACGACCTTCGGGACTCGAGCAAAGTGATCGGGGCTTCGGAGTAGCACGGGCACGGAAAACGAGGCAAGAACGTAAGAGAAATGAAAGAAATGGTGTGTTTTTCCCGGAACCCTCACATCCCTTTTATAGGGGGCTGAGAGGCCTCGGTACGTGGAGCGTACTCGTGCATCATGCGTGACCGAGTCCTCGACTGCCTCGGCTTCGGATGGGACGGGATGGGTAGGCTCGCATAGGGGCGACGTGGACGAACCGAGGCCAAGGCCTCGAGTACGCGGGGCATACGCCTGTACGCGGCGCATAACTCGGACAGACCCGGTGACTTACCGTTCGGATAATACCGATTTTTGAATTTAATTTATATATTAATTATTTAGCAAACTTCAAAAATTCATATCTTCTTCATACGAACTCCGTTTTCGACATTCTTTATATCCACGCGAAGATGAGACCATACTCTACAACTTTCATTTAGATCCCGTTGGAAAATTCCGAAATTATTTTTATTATTTATTTTTAAAAGGTCGCGGTAAGAAGATTTATTTAGAAATTCATAACTTCTTTATCTGACGTCGGTTTTTACCAGACTTTTAACCGCTGAAATACCATTGTTGAGACCTTCGATTCTCGTTTAGGTCATTCCGGTCAAAAATCGCTCGATCTCTGATTCGAGTTTTTAGCCGTTTGCCGTTAAGCCGAACTTGAAAAATTCCTAACTTTCTTATACGAAGTCGGATTTGGGCGTTCTTTGTGCGTACGATCACGGTTTAATGACATCTAACATAATAGGTAATTTAATTAGTAATTTTTGGATATTTTATTTTCGAAGTAAATTTTATTACAACTAACGTGGTTACATTATTTGATTTTTTAGTTCGTTTACATGTAGTTGAGATATCGGGTTGTCACATTTATCCCACAAATAAATATAAGTGTAGTGCAAGTGGTTTCAAATTAGACATTATAGACTTGCGTTATGAAAGTGGTCTTTATTATTATAACTTTAGACTTGAAAACATATCATAGTTATTGAATGCAAGCAAAAAATAATGGTACCCTTTTTAAAAATCACATTTTATTGCAAGGTTTTTTTATTAAATCCAATTTTATATGTTCGATGCGTCAAAAATTTAAAATTAATATCTTACACTAAGTTTTGACGTTTGAGTGCAAAAAAAAACCATTTCTATCCATATTAATAAAACTTCATTTTATTATTTAAGGTTTAGAGTTTGAATAAGTCTCTAAAATCTTAATTTTAAACTCATAAATTTTAATCGTCAAAATTTTCCTTTGTAGTATTTTAAAAGAAAAACATATTTTTATTTTAAATCGACTTTATGCATCGTATGCAGTGTTTTAAAAACTCGTTCGAACCGGCCGGTCGAACCGGGAACCAGAGGTGAGGGCGGTTCAATTTGGACCGGTTTTATAATGATTTCCTCACAAGAATTAACCGGCCGGTTTTGGTAAACACCGGTTCAACTGGCTGAATTGAACCGGAATGGATCGGGCATTCTTGGATTTTTTGTGTTTGTTTTGGGCTTATTTGTTTGATTTTGACTTCTATAATAATCGTTTTTATATGTTGCATTCTATTTATGTTTGTAATACTAAAAAGATGATAAGTTTTGTAATCAATGTATACAGGATAATTAAAACATATAAAAATATAGAACCGGTTTGACCATCCGGTTGAACCGGTTAAACCGGAAAACGTCCCCTACCGGTTCAATTAAAAAACCGATTTTTAAAACATTGATCGTATGTTTAAAAGACAAATTTAATTAAAACAAAGTCCATACAATCATTTTTGTATTCAAAATACTACTTAGCCTTTAAAATCCTATTTTTTAAACATGTAAAATCAACATAAAAACAAGCATCACAAGTATAAAATGTGTGCATAAGCAAATCCATAAATTGGTGACAATTTGTGAGTCATCACAAAAAATTTGCGTCAATTCGTAAGAGACATAACGGGAAAAATATTCTATAGTGGTCCTCATGCTCCAACTTGCTTAAACAATACCTTGTAGTAAGTTCTTGAAAACTTCATAAAGTGTTCGGGAACACATAAAAACGTTGGAATATGATGTTTGATCTTCAAAATGACCATCATTTTCTATCTCTTTACATTTTTATAAAAATAAGCTAGTCTAATACTAATAAATTACTTATAAACATATAGAAGATCAAAACAATCTATTTAATTAGTACATACCATATAAATACATAAATACTACAATCACTTAACAAATAAACACAATAAAATAATAAATAGCCCATGGATAGATTATGAAC